GCCAGTCAGACATAAAATCGAATAAACATACACTTGACTAGTAATCGCAGCCGGTTTCCACCGCAACCCGAGCAGGTTCCATTGTTCCACCATATCAGTTAACACAATACCGTCCATTGGTCGGTGTATTGTTGTTACGATAAGTTCTGTGGCGACTTCAATTGCATGTTTTAGATAACGCGACACATACTTGTATGTTTGTCTTTATTACTAGTGACATACATCGTATTGCGTTCAGCATTGGGATGATATTGCTGATATTGCGAGCTGAGTTTCCTGTCAGTTTTTCTCATCTCGAAATCACTCCGAACTGACGGTAGATTTGACATATCATAGGAGTCTGTAATAGACCTACATGAATAAAGATATTTTGAATTGAATATTTCCAGTTTATCTTTTCACTTATCTGGTAAATTTCTTTTTTTTCTATACATACGAACAAGCGTTAAAGAGCACATAACACCCTGGTGTTTCAGACGTCTATAGGCTATGGTAACCGTTTACCATCAGATTGCCAGCATTGTTATAAAAAACCTGATACGTAAATTAGCAAAGTGATACAATAAGAGTACTGTTAAATGGTAGTAAAAATAACGACTGATTGCCATAGAAGAAAGAAGAAGAAGAAGGTTCTGTTTTGGTTCGGAACCTTAAAAAGAAAGGATAGAAAAATAGACAACGATACTTTTTATAAAAAAAAACAAACATTTTTTGTAAAAAAATCAAAAGCGAGCGAAGCCGCGGGTAAAAGCTAGTAATAACTAAACAAAATCAACTCTAAATTTACCATCAGTACAAAGGCTTTAAATAAATAAATAATTAAAGGCGACCAAAGGATGCTGTTCGGCGTATGCCTGAACTTTACAAAGAAAAGGATAGAAATACAGACAACAAAGTAATCAACCATTAACTGATAAAACAAACATTGTATACACATTACAAACATATTAACTGTTTAATAATATATAAACATGTTAATCAAACATAACAAGTTATTTATTAATACTAATTATATTTGAGTTTTACAAAATGATGTGGTTAGATACGCCGTATTCATACAATATCAAAACAATATACAGTAATAATAATATTGCTATATTGTTTCAAAATTGACTCTGTCATCTATACATATAAATAAAACTGGAGTGTCTGTTTGTAATATTGAAATAACCGTTTTTTACTACATGCATAAATACGGTATAGACACCAGAATAACATTTTTTACAATTTTTGTCTGTCTGTCTGTTTGTTGTCGGATAATCTCTCATATGGGTGGACCAATTTTGACGGGAATTTTATTGGCAGGTAGCTGATGTAATAAGGAATAATTTAGGCTAATTATATTACAGAAAAAAAAATTTTTTTTTCAGAAAAAAGTTAAATTCCATGCTGACGAAGTTGCAGGAACAGCTAGTCTATACTAACATTATAAAGCTGAAGAGTTTGTTTGAATGCGCTAATCTCAGGAACTACTGGTTCGTATTGAAAAATTATTTTCGTGTTGGATAGTCCATTTGTCGAGGAAGGCTTTAAGCTATATAACATTACGCTACGACCAATAGAAGCGAAGCATCAGTGATATATGTTGTCAAAACGGGGAAAAAATATATATGAGGGCTTCCGTTGCGTGCCCTGCGCGGAAGAAGTCGCGGGCTACACGCGGGCACAGCAAATTATTTACACGTATAATTAGTAAAAATCACAGGATCTTACCCCAGTTTTGTTTTCATTGAGTTCCCGATATTTCGGCAGTGTTTCATGACCAAGGTAAACAGTTCACCCGTCATCATGGGGCTTGAAACTCAATAAAACAAATAAATAAAACATAGTAAGATCCCGCAAATTTTACTAATTATACGTATACAACTCCTCTGATGGTGAATGGTTACCGTAGTCTATGGATGCCTAAAACACCAGGGATGTCACATCCGCGTTGCCGACCAACTTGTATTTAAGCACGACCACAGAACACTAACATAATCTCTTGATCTCGGATGACCCTGCACTTGTTAATGGTAGAATTACGAAATTTTTATCCAAAATATTAAAAAAAATACTATTGTAATGAAGACTAATATTCCTAATATTACGCAGAGAGCAATGGAGAGGGCTATGCTCGGAGTTTCTCTGCGCGATCGAATCAGAAATGAGGAGATCCGCAGAAGAACCAGAGCGATCGACACAGCCCGACGAATTGCGAAACTGAAGTGGCAATGGGCAGGGCACATAGCTCGTAGGACAGTTGGCCGCTGGGGTAGTAAAGTCCTCCAGGGGGGACCGCGGACCGGAAGACGCAGCGCGGGAAGGCCTCCAGCAAGGTGGACCGACGACTGGTCAAGACCGCTGGAAGTTGTTGGATGCGAGCAGACCGATCGTCGTGGAGATCTTTGTGGGAGGCCTTTGTTCAGCAGTGGACGTCTTTTGTGTTGAGATTAATGAATGAATGAAAATCTGCCTAATATTATAAACGCAAAATTTTATGAGTATGGATGGATAGAAGTTTGTTACTCTGTCATGCAAAAACTGCTGAGCGGATTTTGTACACTCGTGGAGTGGAGAAACTTCGAACTTTGGTGCTTCGCATGGGTGATCATCCATGGGGTCCAACACCGTCAAGCCTCTCTATGATTATAGATCCCCAAAACACACATAGGCTAAAGTCTATCATAAAAAAGGCAAACCAAGTCGCGGAAAACAGCTAGTATAGTATTAAAACACAATAAACGCTGTCTCTTAATCCATAATGGATGTCATTATATAGATAAAAAATCATTTGTTTACAAAATACAACAAACTGATATACCTACACAGTATAATCTTCAAAAAAATTATAAACCTATTTAATTAAAAAAATATCTTACATATTATTAGTTAAGTTACTGAAGATAATAATATTTTACACTAAATATAATCAAATTCAAGTTTTGCATTTCAAATATGGCTGAACAAAATAATATCTTAATTTAAAACTAGTTCCATAACAGTACATTCCTTGTCTTGGTTTGTCGTAAACTGTTTAGCAGTTGTGAACGAAGGACTACATATATATTAGGCTGGTAAATATAATTACATATTATAATACAGAAAACAGGTGGGATAATGACATAAGGGCAGTGACAGGACCAACATGGAGAAGGAAAACATTGGATAGAGGAACATGGAGTCTTTTGGAGGAGCCCTATGTCTTAGGACAAGCTGATGAACCTAGAGAGATAAATAATAAATAAATAAAACCAACTCTAACTTTATCATCAGCACAAAGGCTTTAAATAAAATAAAATAAAAATAAATAAATATAATTATGTAAACACAGTTTTTAGGAAGAAATAATACAATATTACATATAGTATAACAGCACAAGAAGAATGATAATGACATACATTTTTCTATATTAAATAATAGGAAAAAAACAGAAATAATATGTAAATATGTGCGTCATGTGCAATATTGTTGACTACTAGTGACTCTACCCTTATGTGTATTTTTGAGCACAGGTCTTTCGTGTTGCAGCGTCAGCTGGTGGGTTTCTAATGTCCACACTTGAAGAACATGATGTCTCTACTTAAGTAATTAATAACTATACCAGCTGAAAATCTACTTTCACTCAACAATTAGGATAAATAAGGAAATGTGGGGCATTTCCTTATTTATACCCTGAGATTAGCTGGAAGAGAATGCTATGTGGCATTAAGCTCGATCAACATTGTACAAAAGTTATTTTTTTTTAAAACATAAATAAGTAAGATAACTACTGTGTACTCATTTTCCTTTGTACTATGTACTATTTTTTTACTATGTACTCTTTGTTTAGATAAGTAAGATAAATACTGTGTACTTATTTTCTTTTGTACTATGTACTCTTTGTCTAAGGAAAAGATTACCAACTGCTGATATAGGTATTGATTCACTATTTCTGTGCATTGATTCACTTAGTCAAATACAGCGAGTTATCTTTTTCATAAATATTTAAAGGCATATATCAAATATGAATCATAGTTACACACATTCATTGTCAGTTAATATGAAGAATTAAGATTTATTTATTTTTAATTATAACGCACACAATATTAAAGGTAATATTAGGAGAAATATAGGACTTAACACCACGAAGCATTTTCTTCCAGTCAACCATAGTGCAGATTTTTTTTTTATTTTTATATATTGTATTTAGTCTCTTTATTGCATAGATTTATTGCAGATTCTATTTTTTTAATACCATGCTGCAATTTCTTTATACTTTTTTTTTTATTTTTATATATTGTATTTAGTCTTCTAGAGAATAATTATTCATTATATATTAAAATATTGATTATTTCACTATGAGTAGAAATTTGTTTAATTTATTTTATTGGTCTTAATAATAATAATATGTTATTATGAACAACAAATAATTGTAAAAATTAAATTTTCAGAAACATTTAAACCATTAAATCATAAATATTCAAACCTACTTTCTAATAGTAATTGTGTTTAATAATTTACAAAAACTATAGAAAGTTATGAGAAAACTCAATAGCTTAGAAAATAACATGATAGAAATGTTCATTCCTTTCAGTTCAATGCTAAAACGCTAAGCAGTTATTATACATTTGAGATCTTAATTAATTTCTCTAGTTTCTAAGTATATCACAGATAATATTTAGAATATAAATATCCAATTTACCAGCATTTAATTAGAAAATTTAATAAGCAAAATATTTTTTATTCTAATTACATATTTAATATGTTATATATAAATGTTAAATTGATTGTATGATAAAATAGTTATTAATGTTACATATATTTAGTTAATTTAATAAAAAAAAGATTTGCAACAAAATTTACTCCTATATTTTATTCAACTTTTATTTCTTTATACACAAAGTTTCGTTACTAAACCCTACAGATAGGTGTCAATCTAGAAATCTATATGTAGACTAGATGACTAAATGTCAATAAATATAAACTTTATAAATAGTTCGTGAAAAAGTGACATGAAGTGCAATCGTTTAGGTACTCACCTTGTTGTGTGGTAGCACTATGAAGGCTCCTCCGCCGGCTGACTCGACGATAATCGCCAGAAACTTAGGGTTCACGGCACAAAACGTAGAATCCCACGAACTTTTAGACACCCTTATACCCTCATAACACTGCTCCCTTTTGAGGGCTTGCCCGTAAACGTGGCGGAATTTTGAACTACGAACCACTCTAAACGACATCTGTAACGCGAAATTACCACACAGTTAACAACAAAACAATAAACATTACGTTTTATATGAGCAATTGCATATAACATAACCTATCATTCAATAATGACCTAAATTTTGACATAAAATACTTGGAATGAATACCAACTCACTTTTTTTATAAGAGGAAATTATGTTAATTATACAAGAGAACACAATGAAATCATTTGAAAATTGCTCAATAATTTATAGAAAATAAAATAGAGAGCTGCTAAGGATACAAGGGAGGACGGTTGGGAAAACGAGCGAACTCCATATTTGGTAATGCCTACGGCCGCTACATTTAACTGATTACAAACTGACGTCAAGCTATTTGGAATAAAATATTGCGATGCGATGCAATATTGAAAGAAAATGTGTAGAAGTTGTAATTATAAATTACAATATTTTTAATTTAAGTATTATATTTTTTAAGTTCATTATTTAAAATAATAATTTGTTTATTTAGAACGCACCTTGCCAACGTCAAAAACACAGTTGAGTTAAAGTGCGTTCGTATTTTATTATTATGTTTACAACGACAAGACTAGAAACAAATATTTATATTATGATCTTCTCTTTCAAATAAAAAAAAATTAAAACTCACTTTTGGCACTTGTAGACGGGTGTCTGGTTCTGATTTTCTTGTCGGAGTTTGGGAGTGATAACTGTGGCATCGTTCTCTTCCGACTCTTTTCGAAACTGGCGCTCTTGTTTTAGGACTAGTGAAACTATTATGTCTTTTTACTTCTTGCTGAAAAACAAAACTACCATTTAGTCAGTGGTCAAGAATTGTATATAAATGTGAAGAAGTGGTATACCCACTACTTACACAAACATTACAAAACTGCTTATAGAATAATATATAATGTATACTTATAGAATAATTTAAAAATCACTGAAATCCGTGTTTATTTATTCTCCATTCTAAGTTTCACGTGATTTCTAATTGGGTTATCCAGAAAATATTATCTATATTTTTAAATAGAAATATTAATTAAGCGGCAGAACGTAAGTACTTATGTAAATTAAATACGAACGATATTCTAAACTGAATAAGCTCAGTGTTCACAACCTGTATTTAGAGTTCTACTTAGTAATTTTCATTCGAAAAATACTGTGACTGATTTGGTCACCGTATTGGTTCTAAAATTAAGCGCAGTTTTGTCAATAATAACAACTTCAATAAATTTTATATACACCATTATAATTAATACAAAACTCACCATGTCGATATCCATGATTTTATCTGTGTAATTTTTAGGTCTCAAATGTAGCGATATTACTTTATATTTAAATAGCTAGTGTCCACTAAACATAACCTTAGTCTAAAGTAGGGTAGACGAAAACTTTTTTTAACTTTGCAGCCAGACAGTTAATTTACAAATAAAATGACGGATTTTTAAATAAAATTATACGAAAGCTACCAACTGTTAAACACTTAAATAAACTAAGAAAAGTTATATATTTTCTTTATATCTATAATATAATTAAATATTTATTGTAAGACCGCCAATTTCATTATTTAGTAGCTAGACAAATAATATGTTTATTGTGTATCCGAACGAAAATTTAGGTTATTGTTTAGTCTGTGGAGATCTGGAATGTTACCTTATTATTAATATTTACACTTTATTTGGTAATTTTTCGTATTTTGTAGAATATTTGTTATTTACAATTACGATAAAATAGTTTTGGCGTAGACTCTTTGTGTAAAAGACAACATTTTATTAAAAAGATTTATTTTAAACTTTGGGAATTGTAATATATCGTTTACATATTTATGTGATTTACATGACAGTTGACAATATCATAAAGTACTTATAGAATAAAATAATTGGTCATACAATTAATGTAAATGTAAGTAATAATGTAAAATTTTCTTAAGTACGTTGTTTCATACGACATACATTCTAGACGGTAATAAATAAATAATAATAGTACGTGTAATGTAAATGTGTACGGTGTAAAGAAAATTAACTATCAAAAAGTAATTCGTTGAACGATTTATATTTTCACATTAATTTTTTTTCGTATTCATTCATTTTTTTTTATGTGAAAGTTCCCAACATCAACTCCGGGGAAACAACAACCGGGTGACTGGATTTAAGCCTCTTAGGGCGTGATACTTAAAAAATCTGTCACGAATATAAATAAAGTAAACTTAACCTAACTTAAGAGGAGCCCGAAAATTCTTATTTATTTTTTTGTGTTAAATAAGTATGTATGAGTGTAGAATAAGTAGATTTTAAAGTTTGTGACTGGCAATAAGAACAGTTTGACTGTCAATGTCATGTAGCCAATTACAATCTGTAGTGTACAGTAGTGTCATTGTCAGTGTCAGTGTCAATATGTTCAAATTCCAACTAACCAGTCAGTCGCTAAAATTATTCTCCTTTGCTTTGCAAACTTGAAAAATATATATTTGTGGTGTTCTGTGAAATTGTTTTTAATTTTTTTGTTGTTTTACACGTAAAATGCACACAATTTATTAAATAAAACTGTTTTCCAAGCTGTCAAGAAATTGGAATTATGGAGCCGACAATTACTAAGGTAATATACATTTAAAATATTTGTTAATGTGTGTTTTTGGAAAATAAACATATATTGTGTAGGTGTATATATTTACGTGTATATGTTTGTAATTATATCTAATTTACACCCATCATTTACACTAAACAAATTCATAAATTTGAAATTAAAATACATTTTGCTTGAGAATTTGTCTACCGGAATTTCAGTATATATTTTTTTCTAAATTTATTAAGTAGAAACATTGTTCGCGCCTAAATGGAAAACAAATGTTATAAATACGTAATACGTAAATGTCATAAGTTACATTCTTTTACTAATATATTGAAAGTAATTCATAATGTAATGTACATAGTTTCAGTGATAGTATGGGCCCATTGAGTTACGGAACCGAAAGTATGTATTGCTCTGAAATCTGCCGAAATTAAAGTTGTTATTTTGGTCAAACTGCCGGTATCTACTACTGGGATAATAAAAAAAACTAATAAATACTTTTTTAAGACATATCAGTAGGTTTCTATGAAATATTAATATCTAAGTTCTTCCAGTAACTATTACATTAATTTAAGTTTATGCATTTAATAACCTTAATCTTTGAATAACAACCTTATTACATAATAACATGAATATGATAGGTATGATAGTAGATGAGGTAACATTAGTAGGTTAGTAGCAAATAGAATTTTATAAAGGGTAGGTTCTGAGTCTAAATTAAAATCTCTTCTACAACATGATGAAAATGTTAGTTATAAAGTGTATGCTATGAGTTGAGAGATTAATTATAGGTGAATTCTGTGATCCATTATTTCTAAAGTGCTGTGTCATTGGTCTCTCGTTAAATTTAATACAGCACAGAGCAACTTAGTAGGGCGGGAAAATCTCTGAAAAATGTTGCTATACTTGTGCACTAGCAATGTACAGCCCTGTAGAGCAAGGCATTTACTTATTGATATTTGATGGAAGGTGCTAGTGCATTATTTATGCTATGACAAAGTACTTTTAATTACATGTGAGGTGCTAGAGCCCAAAAATAATGGACTACAAACAAAAATTAAATGAACAAAAAAAAATTTATAAAAGGTTCAACTCTAAATTCCAAAAGCAAACCTAGGAGAACCTTTTATGTCCACTGCTCCTGACTATTTTTATATATGAATAGCTGTATAAATTCCCAGAATCTGTGGATGTCTGGGGTTACTAAACATTTAGCATTAACTTATTTTTATTTTTAAATTATGCTATGTCACACCCACTGACAAAGTACTTTTAATTACAGTGTGAGGTATGCTAGAGCTCATCATGAGAAATTACAAGGAATTTATCATGATGGTTTCCAGGGGGAACCATAGTGGAGGTCAACTTGACATGGTAAATTGTTAGCGATGGGTTCCTACATCCATTACTAACAATCCTATAATAATGTCTAGGAACATTTACATAACATTTAACATGTGATCTCAATTGGTGGCCATATTTGTTTCATTCATTTTGTGCTGTCATTATTATTATGGTAAGTAGGCATAAAGTTAATTTGTTATAATTATAACCAGGGTCTTGTGAATTGTCCTTAAACATATATTTTTAGAAACACATGTTGGTTTTAACTGTGTTTATGTGATGTGTTGAAACTTTGTTTTATTAAGTATATATATTATTATTATAGCTGTACACATATTTATAATATTTTAAGTGTATTTATTTTCTCTTATTATGTGGTCCCATGGGTAAAAGTTTCCTTAAACACCCAGATTTTCTCATACTCATGAATATGTGAAGAATTGAATCCGCAGCCATATTATAATTATTCAAACATTATACATAGTCCTCCAGATTGGCAACACATGTTTTATTAGTGAATGATAATAGAACAATGTCAACATGTCCTATAGACATAAACACTTCTTCTCACATTCTTCATATGTTCCTAACTTTTGCCAAACGTAGCCACAGTGGGCCTCAGAGAGTGATGTACAGAATTACTAGTGACATATATGTATACTAGAAGACCCAACCATGCATTGTTGTGGCTAAGGTTCTTGAATAAAATAATATTGCGACTGTAAATTGAGATGTAAGTTATCCTATCTTTCATTGGATCAAATTGCACACAAAGTGCAAATCAAATTTGTAATCACTTCAATAGTTTAGGAGTCCATCGCGGACAAACAACGTGACACGTAATTTTTATATATAAAGATATCTAATGTTTATTGTATCTATTTAAACTTATAAGAAAATACTTCAGTTAAATTATGTAATTATGTGAATTATATAGTCTTTGAATTTGTATTTAAATAGAATGGTGCTCAAGTGGTTTATACTGGCACCAGTACAGTACATGGGTGGAAGCTTGGGGACAAGTTTGTTAGCATATAGAGTGGGACAACTGGCATTGTAGTATAAAAAAATGAAATAAAGTTACATAATTAACATAACACATGCCCTATCTAGACAAAGCAGAATGGTGATTATTTGGCACTTATGCATGTGATAGTGTAAAATCGATTAAATTAGTGGATTGTTGGCATGATAATGAATTAAAAAATTAGTAATAATGTTCTATTTTGAAGAGGCTCCTAGATTTGTTAGGTCACAACTGGGTAGGTACACTCTGTTGTTTTTAATTGGGTAAGAATCCCATATATCCCTTCCTCACCTCTTCTGTGAGGGAGGTCTTTTGAAGTTTTTTTCAGACGATAAAAAAGATCACCACTTGGTCTTGTTTTAGTTGTTGTAATTGCCATAAAGTATTGATCGTTTTTTTAAAATGTGTATGTTGGAATTGACCCTCCGGCGGGGAAGATTTTTGAAGATTTTTTCAGACGTTAAAAAGAGTCACCACATGGTCTTGTTTCAGTTGTTGTAATTGCCATAAAGTATTCATCGTTTTTTTTAATGTCTATGTTGGAATTGGCCCTCCGGCGGGGAAGTTTTTTGAAGATTTTTCAGACGTTAAAAGAGTCACCATATGGTTTTGTTTCAGTTGTTGTAATTGCCATTTTGGTCGTTTTTTTTAATGTCTATGTTGGAATTGGCCCTCCGGCGGGGAAGTTTTTTGAAGATTTTTCAGACGTTAAAAGAGTCACTACTTGGTCTTGTTTAAGTTGCTGTAATTGCCATAAAGTATTCATCGTTTTTTTTAAAGGTGTATGTTGTAATTGCCATAAAATGTTGGTCTTCTTTTTTTAAAATGGTATTTTGAAAAGTATGTTCCGTGATAATTTATTTATCGATTTTTTTACAATGATCGATTATTTTTTTGACACATCGCTGGTGTCATTTCTTTTCCATTATCACGCGGTGTTTACTGCGCTATGGTTAAATTACAAAATCATCGTGTAAAATTATCTCTACATTGATTACCTACTTGATAATTTGCCGCATCGCGATTACATCTAAATCCTTCATATTCCATCTATAAACACATAAAATATAACTGCCTGTAAATGTATATTTGTAAAATAAACGTTTTAAGTTTTATTCTTTCGGTTATAAAGTTTATTTTTTAATGATACGCCTGTGATGTAAGAATCGGAATTTTCTATGTCTGTATCTGAATTGGACTGTAATGAACAATATACAATACATAAAGATATAATATATATATATATATATATATATATATATATATATATATATATATGTATATATATATATATATATATATATGTTACCTGCGCCCGCGTGTTATAGTGACTTTAAAAAAAAAAACAATAATATAATACAAAAAAGGCCAAAGAAAATAGTTTCATCGTTCTAGCTTCCAAATATGACGAATTTCCATACAAATTTTCATTCCCTATTTTATTTTATCCCTATTTTATTTATGTAATATTTTTACAATGAATGTCATATTTATTGATGTTTAATCAACAGCTTAAAAAGTAAGTTTTCAAGTTTGTAGCTTTAAAACGACAATTCTTTCATACAAGCTTTTATATCCCCGTTCAACCCCTTACAACCCTATTTTCGTATTAAGAAGTAGCCTATGTTCTTTCTCAGGGTCTAGACTATCTGTGTACCGATTTAAATGAAATTTATTCATTTAAATCGGTTCAGTAGTTTTGGTACGTCGCTTATGAACGTAAATTCTACAATAAAAGTAGCCTAAGTTACTCCCTATTACATCAGCTACCTGCCAAAAAAGTCCCATCAAAATCGATCCAGCCATTTCAGAGATTAGCCGGAACAAACGAAAATTGTAATATGTGTATATATGTATACATACAGGCAAATTAATTTAACTTATGCTAATGTTAACACTTTTTTATTATTATTATTATTTACACTAATTTTTTTTAGCTTTTGCTGCTTTTTTTATTACTTTTATTTGCACTCTTCAAATTGAAATTAAAAAATCATTTATTCAAGTACGATATTTTAGCTGCTTATTAACGTCAATTTTTTTATATCATGTATACCTATATATTTTTTTCTTGTTGAATTTTCTTACCTTTTGCTGGTTTTATTATTATTATTATTATTACTGCTATATTAGTATATATTAAAAGTTTTCAACAATATTATTGTATTGTTTCAGGCGCGGCATTACCGCACTACCATCTACATACTGGTGGCTTCCAACCTAGCTGCTGTCTTCGGCGCTGCCAAACTGGTGCTCAGCCTCGAGCCTCATGACAGGTACTGTTTAATCCAGTTTCCAAAGTAGCTATTGATATAAAAGATTTGGTTTCTACGGACCAGAGTCTGGTTAGTACAAATATTCTATATCAACGCAGTTTGATGTGGTTTGACTTTTAAAAATGATTGTTTTTAGAATTTAGAATAGCCTAAAATTAATACGTTAAGTTGGAATAATTATTAAAATTTTAATGTTATCTAATAAGACATTTGTCTTAAAAGATATATAAAATTAAGCCGTAAATTGTACGTCAGTTCAAAGTTATATCGCCCATTCGATCCCGACCTGTCCGAGACGCAAACTCTGAGCGACCGCGTAAACCATAGGTACTCTTTTGTGGATGATAATGTAATGGTGCACCCGCCTGCGCTAACTGTTTACGCTGGCGGGGCACCAGTGGAGGATGATAAGATGAACATGAAATCAGTTCATTTAGCCCAACGTGACACTTCACAGGGAATTTATCACGATGGTTTCTAGGGGGAACCGTGTGGAGGTCGACCTGACATGGTACATTGCTAGCAATCGGGTCATGAGTCCACATTACTAACAATCCCCTTCCCCCCAAACATAGTTACTAGAGTTGCCAGATTTTTTTTCAGCCTATAAGGGGCAAATGTTTAAATATGCCAAAAATACGGGTATTTTTTTACCCGGGACAAATAAAAAACGAAATTATATAGTGACATTCTTTATTTTTTTAATACATTTTTTTGAGGAGCAAGTTAACTTTAACATATTTTTATTGGTTTTAACATATTTATAAAAATGAATGCAAATATAATCGTAATTGAAAAAGGTCATCAACTCGCTTTTTAATAAGTTTCGTGCATGAGAGCTTTATCTAGCTTAGATTGATCGATTTAATAATAAAAATCGGAGCACGGTTCAAATACGGGACGTCAGGTAAGATACCTGTCTTTGTCACAGTTTGTCACAGTTGTCACAGTTGACTTTGTACATTTTAAACCGAAATAGGCTTAAAATACGAAATAGGTGGTCCTACACCTTTGACTTTGTACAAAGTCTACGTCTGACTTTGTACTAATAGGTGTCAAAGTCTACTTCAGAACCTCGAAATAGGTGGTCCTACACCTTTGACTTTGTACAAAGTCTACTTCAGAACCTCGAAATAGGTGGTCCTACACCTTTGACTTTGTACAAAGTCTACTTCAGAACCTCGAAATAGGTGGTCCTACACCTTTGACTTTGTACAGTCTACTTCAAAACCTTCACGGCTCATAAATGTTTCGGCACGATAAATATAGCATGTTTATATAACACGTAATCTAATATGTGACCCGGAACGAATAGATAAAAAATCAGTTTATATCTATATACTTAATACATTAAGTTGTATTTTGTTTGTACATAATACTGATAAAGTTAAATTTAGTATAAAACAAATTACGATAGATAGAGACCAAAAATGTACAGTCAAATTAAGTTTATTTTAGAATAGAATAGAATAATATTTATTACAATCACACATCACAACACAACAATGATGATGCTCACAGCAACATATAAATTATTATAACATATCAGTAGAAACTAACTAAGGTTGCTAACTATGGGCCTCATGAACAAGCTCAGAGTCACTCAGAGGGCAATGGAGAGGGCTATGCTCGGAGGTATTCTGCGTGATCGAATCAGAAATGAGGAAATCCGCAGAAGAACCAGAGTGACCGACATAGCTCGTAGGACAGATGGCCGTTGGGGCAGTAAAGTCCTCGAGTGGGGACCACGGACCGGAAGACGCAGCGTGGGAAGGCCTCCAGCAAGGTGGACCGACGATTTGGTCAAGATAGCTGGAAGGCATTGGATGCGAGCAGCGCAGGACCGATCGTCGTGGAGATCTTTGTGGGAGGCCTATGTCCAGCAGTGGACATCTTCCAGGCTGCGATGTTCATGATGATGATGATGATCATAGGAACAATAAATACAAATCATTAAGAGAAAAAATTGTGAACAAGAAAATCAAAGAAAATAAAATAAAAAAATTGAAACACATATACCAAAAACAATAATAACAAAGTAAAAAAATGCGTATCCACCACTGCGGAGCATCGTCACCACACCGCGTTTTACACCAGAGTTGTTCAAATTACAGTTAGAAAACTTTTAAACGTAAAGTTTGCATTAAGAGAAAAAAAGAGTAGATCGAGAAATCTGCCAAGATCTATTTTTAATAAGTGTTACGCCATGATTATTTTCTTATTTTTTCGGACAACATTTATTTTGTCTATTATTATTTGGTAAAGGTATATAAATACATACAACCCGAAATTTTCACTCGTCCACCTTCATTCCCTAGTTTTTAATAACTATTTTCATTTATATAGCAAAACAACATATGCCTGAACAGCTGGTGTATAGATATATATACGAGTATAATATATGTACACACTCATATTTTATTTATTTAACTTTAATGCATAAATGTGTACATATGGCGGATATACACCTTGCGGCGTTATCTACCAGTCAACCATGAGTGGTGCAGAGAAAGATTGTTGGCGGTGCACGATAAATGAGAAATGTCAAAAAAAGATATACAAATAAAATAAAAAAATAAAAATACTTGTCGAGCCTGTGGTAGGCCATGCCGCTCTCGTATCGTATACAGCCACGAAAAGAGCTGTTCACGGACCATTATGCCATAAATAGTCTATAACAAACGCATAGATCATTATATATACTATATAAATAAATAAATACATAATGATCTGATAATAAAATTATAAGTATAGCCTCAAATTGAAAGTAAGAAAAAAAAGAGGTCACATTCGGTTAATTGTACTAGAACTTCAAATATTTATATATTGTATACGTGTATTTATTAGTTTTTAGTGCGTAACTACCGAGTATGATGTAACTAGTGTACCTACATACCTTCACTGTGCCGTCATGCTCAGAACGTTGGGTGTTCTTCGAATCTGTGACTACGATTATGTGAATCACTGCAATATACGCAAGGCCGCACTGACCAGCGGGCCCCGCATTAGTTAGGAGCCGCGTGCACACAAAATTAATATTTATATTATACTAGCTGTCCCGACAAACGTTGTTTTGCCATAAAATAAAAAAAAAAATTAGGGCTGGACTACCCCTAACATTTAGGGGGATGAAAAATAGATGTTGGCCGATTCTCAGACCTAATCAATACGCTCACAAAATTTCATGAGAACTGGTCAAGCCGTTTCGGAGGAGTATGGGAACGAAAACTGTGACACGAGAATTTTATATATAACATTATATCATAGAGTGCAAATTCAATTCGCAAATTAGTATCCTCAATCACATTAGGTATTGCATTTTTGTTTTTTTAATACGACGCATGTTGTCAGTTGATGAAATATATATATAACACTACCTATATCTGATGATGAGCATGGATGGATGTTTGTTACTCTTTCACGTAAAAACTATTGAACGGATTTTGATGGAACTTTACTTTATTTATAGCCTATATGTTATCCTGACGTATATAGCTTATACGTCAGGATAACATATAGGCTATAAATTTTACGCGGGTTGAAACCGTGATCACAGCTAGTATGAAATATATAACTTCAGATGTCTACTTTTATTTCGGGTTACTCTATTGCCGTTGGCCGCAGCTGGCCTTTACAGCTTCACCGGATGATAGGGGGCGAGTGCAGATGGCACTCCAAACCAAGGAAGGACTTATGGAGCGGCTAAAGGCAGTATGAACTTATGAAGTATTTCAAGTAACGCGGTTGCATTAATAGCGTATTTTAGAATAGTCAAAAATGTTGACTTTCCTTTATTTGTTTTATGTGGACTAAGATTAGGGGATTGTTTTGTGGGGTCATAATAAGCTAGCAATCTCCACGCGGATCCCCCTGGAAACCATCGTGATAGATTCCTGGTAAATTTGTCACAATGGGTGTAATTGGTCAGAAATCACTCATCTTATCGTCCTCCACTGGTGCCTCGACAAACCGTTAGCGCAGACAAGAGCAACATTCCATTATCAATTAAAAAAACATTGTCTAGGGGCCCCGTCATGGTGAATCCGGCCCTGTAAATGGGTTACTATGTTTCTTACTAGTTGTTACTCATCTGGTAATCGACCTGACATGTTACATTGCTAGTAATGGGGTGAGTAATGTGCGAGAATCGAACCAACGACCATCGGAAGTAAAGTAATGTCCTAAACCACTAAGGTCACAAATGTTACATTTATGTATATAGTCCTCTCTAGATTTTAGTCTTTGTCCCTTGTCTGTTACACGTAAAATTTTGTCTACGTACCTACGCCTTGATGTAATTTTGTATGTATTTAGGTTATCAAGTAATGGTTTGGTTATCACTACGCTGGTAGGGTCTAATGAACTTATATTAATGTTGTTTCCTCATATTGAATGTACCAGTGGTTTTCAATCTGTGGGTCGCGACTCCTAGGGGGGTCGCTTAGCCTTATTCGGGGGTCGTCGGCTGAAAGAAAAAGTCGAGGTTCATATACAACAAAAACATTTGAGTGGGAAGATGCTTGTTCATTTTTCAAAAGCTTATCAAATTTTGGTGATATTTGACTGTTGACGCAACGACAATATGCTGTGGCAACGTCAACGGTGCGGACGTAGTGTGGCCCGTGTGAATAATAGATAAATGTACCAAAAAAAAACAATTTTTTACCTAACTAACGTATGTAGGTTTTTAATTCAATTATTTCTTTTGTTTTCTATGACACAAGGGGGTCGACAGAATATTTTTACCTATAAAGGAGTCGCGAAATCAAAAAGATTGAGAAACTCTGGAATGTACAATGTTATCTCGACATCACGCCATTATTACCCAACCAAGTAAAAGAGGAAAATGATGATGAATGTAAAATGAAACTTATTCGCTTAAGCAGTTGTAACAATTTCCATTAGAATAGAATAGACAAAAGTATATACATATATATTTTATATATTAAATATTATGAATATATATTATATAACTAGCTGTACTCGCGACTTCGTCCGCT